TGCATCGCTTCGAATTTTACACTCACTTGATTTGTCCTAATGAATATTTTTATATACCAGCTAGCGACCCGCCCCGGCTTCGCACGGGTTCAATGCCGCACCACTATGTCCCTGCATTTTAAATCTGTAATATCTTCGGAAATATTCATTTTAATTACATGCTGTAAATGGTTATATTAATCTATATTAAATGAACAATGTATTTAGGGTACTTAATTGGATAAACATTAATGCTGTATTGCTTAAAATCACTTCGTAAATAAGCCATTTTTCCCATGAAATGTAAAGGATATAAAATGGTTATTGTGGGTTATCCTTAAGAGATAGACATATACCATCGCAGATTTTTTTGTTGACCTTTTTAAGGTGTACAATACTGTAGTACATTATTTTTATTTATTTATTCGCGCTTGCAATGTAAGCGCAAAAAATGTGTTTATTTACGACATCACATTAGAAACCTCTAAATTTATCAATGTTTCTCTACAATATTACGCATGTATTATACATATAAACCTTCCTCTTGAATCACTCTATCTATTAGAAAAACCGCTTCAAAATCCGTTGTGTAGTTTTAAATATTTAAGCATACATAGGGACGGACAGACAGCGACAGCGACTTTGTTTTGTACTATGTAGTAATAATGAGGTGATGCCCAGAGCCTGCTTGATCGTGAACGGTTTCCATAGCCTCTCATCATCATCATATCAGGAGTTAACTATCCACTGCTGAACATAAGCCTAGTCCATAAGTAGTGACCACGCTTAGTAGGCGAGTTGGCAACCGCAATTAGGCTTTGGTGATGTTTTAAGACGGACGCCGCTGCCCATAACCCGACCGTTAAGCTCCCTTAGTCGCCTCTCACGACACCCACCGAAAAAGAAGAGGTGGGTCATTCTATGCCGTAGCCTGTGGCCGCTTGGAATAATATTTTTTCTATCCTGTAAAAACTCTGTACCCCTTTTTATATATTTATGAATAATCGTTTCAGGAATTGAGTGCGAAAAACTCTGTTATGTCCATGGTTGGCTATAGGCGACGGTTACCACTTTCCATCAGGTGGGCCGTCAGCTCGTTTGCCATTCTAAGTTGTATAAAAATAAACGTCGGCAGGGACCTTATTTCATACTTGAATATTTGCAAAAGGAAGCACATCTCGTGTTGTAAGCGACGGTGTGAAGTATAAAGTTGAACTCCCTGTCGATGGCAGTACAACGCCCGCGAACATCAGGTCAAACGACACCTAAGAACGGACTACAGTCTATTATACATTATACAGTTTTTCTTCTTTTCTTTGCGAGTTGATAGCAAGGTAATAAATGTTTTGTATAGCGTCCATTAAATCCTACAGAGAACAGGTAGTAGGGCAATCAGGACAATACAGTAGGTGTACTATACTGTGAATGGCTGACAGATGTTAATTAATAACTTTTATACTTCCGCGTTTGCATTATTATAAGTATATATGTAGTAATATTATATTATATAATTATATTAGTTCATAAATTACAAGAATTAACGCATTCTTCAAAACCGTAACTTACCGTAAAATTCTAAATGTTGTTTCAAAACGAATCGAGTGTAAATGAATAACCAGCCGTAGACATTAACCAGGTAAAAGTCGGTTCGTTTTTTATACGTCATAATACGAAAAAGAACAAGCCAGTTTAGGACTATAAAGTGAATTGCCTGGAACTTGATTGGGTTTTTACAAGTTTATAATGCGACTGCTGGCCATAGTAACTAACCTCCTTATTCGGGGGAAAAGGGATTGTTAGTAATGCGGATTATCAGTCCCATTGCTAACAATATACCCTTACAGGTCGACCTCCCCGTGGTTCCCCCTGGAAACCATCGTGCCGTACACTTAGGTGTATTTATCACAATGGGCTAACTGGCCTGTCTTTTCATCCTCACCTATCATCCCTCACTGGTGCCCCTCGAGCGTATACTGTTAGCGCAGGCGGGGTTACCATATCATTATCATTCATTAAAAAAAAACCTCCTTATTCGTAAAAAACCATTAGAGTATTTAACTATCAGAGATGCTTTGTCACTGTCTTTCAAATTGAGAAATTAGTGCAAAAGTAAAGGATAACACACTTCAAAAACTAAAAAGGTTTATGAGAGGTGTGTCATTTTTATGAATAAAGGCCGATAAAAGAATTACGTCTATAATATTACTATTTTTTCAAATATACGACTACTTGTTAGTTTGTTTCTACCTAACGCAAATTTTCTACGATGTCGGTAGCTTGCAAACGACATTTCTGCTGATGCGGACAATAGAATGCAGGCGTAATAAACGACGGTAACTGTTTACTATCAGACGGACCTGTATATATATATTTTTTTAATGCATGATTAATGGAATGGTAACCCTGCCTGTGCTAACGGTATACCCTGGGGGTCACCAGTGAGGGATGATAGGTGAATAATGACCATCGTGATGAATACACCTGGAACTCTGCACGACGGTTTCCAGGAGGAACCGCGTGGAGGTCGACCTGACAGGGTGTATTGCTAGCAATGGGACTGGTAGCCCGCATTACTAACGATCCCTTCCCCCCCCCCCATGTATATTTATTTACCACCATAATATTTAAAATAAACAGCTCAACACGCAAACTCATCACTATTACATTTTACGGTTGGCTAAAAATTAGGTCATGGTGTTTAATAAGGAAACTGCCAATCGACATGGGAATGACCGTTTAATTATATCAGTTAAGATTATAATTAAAAATATACTGCGACGCACGTACGGTCGATATTTCAAAGAAAGTGGTATTTATTTATAACTAACGACCCGCCCCGGCTTCGCACGAGTGCACATTATCTCACATCACATTTGAAACCTCTAAAATTATCAGTGTTTCTTTACAATATTGTGCATGTATTATACATACAAACCTTTCTTTCGAAGCAGTCTATCTATTAAAAAAGACCGCATCAAAATCCGTTGCGTAGTTTTAAAGATATAAGCATACATAGGGACGGACAAACAGCGACAGCGACTTTGTTCTATACTATGTAGTGATTTGAAGTACTAATAAAAAATAAAGCACTACCAGGCGTTTGTACTCCTTAAGTATTGTTTTATGCAGACTTTCAAGTTGTTACTTGTCTGTTTGTTATATTAATATGTAAATACGAGTAAAAGGAGTTCAAGAAAACTTTGATAATTGAATTGGAGTAGCTGACCCAATTAAAAGGGGGAAAGGGATTGTTAGTAATGGAGACTGAGAATCCCATTGCTAGCAATATAACCAACCAGGTCGACCTTCTCACGGTTCCCACTGGAAACTATCATGGTTAATTCCTGATGAATTTATCATGATGGGCTAACTGGCCTGTTTTCATTCTCATCGATCACCCTTCACTGGTGCTCCGCCAGCGTATTCCATTAGCGCAGGCGGGGCTACCATACCATTTTCACTCATAAAAAAAAGACTCAATTAAAAAACTGTTTGAATCATAACATTTATTTTACTGCACTAGGTGTGTTATCTTGCAGAAGTCCATATCATTAGTTATTTGACTAGAATAATTTTATTTAATTCCGCTACCATTAGTATTTGTGTGATTGCCAACACTCGGAGATTAGGGGGGGAAAGGAATTGTTAGTATTGGGGATGTAACTTCCCCATAGCTAGCAATATACCCTATCAGGTCGACCTCCACACGGTTCCCGCTGGAAACCATTTTGATTAGTTCTTTATGAATTCGTCACTATAGACCAACTGACCTGTTTCATCCTCACCTATCATCCCTCACTGGTGCCCCGCCAGTGTATACCGATAACGCAGGCGGGGTTACCATTTCATTATCACCCAGTAAAAAAAAAAACACTCGAAGATTGACCACCAGTATTGCCAGAAATTCTACAATCTTCCAAATTAGCCATAAAATTTCAACTAATAATAATAACATAACATTTATTAGGCAGATCAAGCTTCATTTCATAAAGTGACAATCAGGAAAAATGTAAAGATATTGTTAATTTAATCATCATCATCTCAGCCATTATCTGTCCACTGCTGATCATAGACCTCCCTCGTAGACTGCCATAAGGAACTCTCCTAAGCCACCTGCATCCACTGACTCTCATCATTGCATTTGAGGTCGTCACTCCATCTAATGGGGAGTCGTCCTACACTGCGTTTACCCGTACTGGGTCACCATTCAAGAACTTTTCTTTGTTGTTTATTGAATAGTAAATTTTATTGTAACAATATGATCATGTTTTCGAAAAAAATGTCTTAATGGTGTTTCGTTATGTTTTACTAATTTACCTAATTAATTTCGATTACGATGTCTCGATAGCAGTTAATAAGTAATTAAGATTCTATTAACAGTACTCGATTAACTATCATAATTATGACAATTTTAATTAGCTAAATACCTTATAAATTGTATAGGAAGCTTTAAAATTCAAAATTGAAACTAAAACTTCCAAACTTCTAATTTTGGAAGAAGAGAGTGAAATTTGGAACACTTATTAATCTATTATAAACAATACTCATCCATTAGTATAAATTAGTGCAGCATTTACGAGTGTATATATAAAAGAGCATGCTCATTGACAGACTGACATATATATCAAAGTACAGCCAAAAGCGCTGAATCTAAAATCATGAAATTTTGCAGATAGATCCTTGATGTAACGTAGGTGAACAATAAAAAAAACGTATTTTACAAATTTAATCTCAAAGAAGATAAAATGGGAGTAGACAATTTGTATGGAATTTCGTTACTTTAAAAGTTAGACACGTGAAATTTTTGAATTAGATTCTTGATTCAAAACAAACGTTAATATATTTATTGGCTTTTGAAGAATCATAATTCATCCCTTAAGGGATGAAGTAGGATATGAAAGTTTATTAAATTATATGAAAATCGAGAACAAATTAAATTTGCGCAAACCAAAAGAACATTTTAATGGGGATGCTATCACACTAAGCTGCTGAATTTTAATATTTTTATCTCTTTGCTACAGATCCGAGCCATTAGAATGGTGTTAAAACTTAGCGCAATGAAGTATGTGCCGCTGATGGTGTTTCAACTTATACTTATGGTCCTATTCTTCGTATTCACAAGATACGGGCTGGATAAAGACGTTAATGTTAGAGGTAAGTAAATCTACTACTACTCGGGTGAGGGTGACCTCTGCTGACACGAAGGCCTCTGACTCCGAAACACGACGCAAGAGAAATATGCAAACATAAATTTGAAAAACAAATTCAAGGTATATGAAAATATTACACAAAATATATTTTTATGAATTTAAATCTCGTATTTATCTATACTTTATAAATATCTTTAAAACTAAATGAAATAATTTAAAACTATATTCTACGAAAAGAATTTAATGCAATACTTCTATTTTAACAAAAAATGATCGTAATCAGATCAAAATCAGCAGGAGTATCAAGAATATAAACATAATCTTCTTTTTTAAGTCGGTTAAAAACTGACCAAGTGGGCATTGGGCGTCCATTAATAGGGACCCGTAACAACGCAAGTACCTACTTAATTAAAAGGAAAATGGCAAAGATAGTTAAAAGTTAAAGGAAGGATAAACTTTTGCACAGACCTGGAAAGGGGGAAGGTCTCTTTATCTCGCTAAAGAGCCATTTAATCAAAAATATTTAATTGACATTTTCCAAACGACCTCCTCAGCGAGCCCGCTCACGATGGATCAAATTTTTGAACAGCTTGGTTTTTGGTGAACAGTCTATAATTTTGACTCTTGTTCCTTTATTTCCATAAAAATCTGAAATCCACTTTCTTTAATAAAATAAATCCATATAAACTAGTTATGTTCCGCAACTACATACATTAATAATGGTAAAAAGTAATGTATGTTAGAATATCTAGAACATGATCTCCTTTTCTTAATATTTCAAATTCCATTCAACTATGATTTTGACTGATTAGTTTAAAAACATACTCACAAATATCTGTACAAACCTTCACATTTTAATAATATTTTTAAAGTTATAATTATGCCTCCATATCCTGTAGCTTCACTGTCATATCAGGCACTTCGAACCGAAACATATCATGCAAACAAGAGATATCCAAAGCAATGACTTTTGTACGAAGTCTCCCTCTTGTAAATATTCGTATGTATGGTCTATGTGTGTTCAACAAACTTGCAGTCTGGGATTATAATATTTCTACATGTGTAGTCAAGTGTAACTCCGGCAAAACAACTAATTGGTTTGATTACTCTGGAGACGAATTGCGTCAACAAACGCAATACAGGATTAAGTTACGAGTGTCGCCAATTGTAATAATTAGCGTATCCAATTAATATAATGACGCCGCAAACAATGTATGCAAGGCCAATATTGTTGTGACTGTAAAAATGTTGCTCGTCTTGGGAATTTAATGATATATCTACCTACTACGATATAATATCTCTGCATGAAATGGCTGCTGCCACAAAATGGCGGATTAAATTAAAAAAACTTATTTGTCAATTTTTTTACTTCTAGCTTTGCCTGCCTGTTTACCTTTTCTTGAACTGATGACACCTACTTTTTAAATAGTATAAAATAAAATCGCCGTCCACGTTTGTATGGTCCTTTGCTTGCCTACTTCTTTAACATATAAAACGCTTCAAACTACACAACCAATTTTAATTTGTTATTCACTGTCGCTTAGATATGTTTTATGGAAGTTTGAGTTCATGCACTCGTGCGAAGTCAGAGCGAGAGATCAGTATAATAGTGTTTGATATTGTTACTATACAAGTATACATTGTAATCTTTCGCTTAGCAAATTTGATCAAAGTAAAAATTTAATAATGCCACTAAGAAATAATGTAGGTTGTAGGTAGGTACCTAATATGTAATCGTTTGCGGAACCAATATCAGGAGTTTGTGAAGCGTTTAAAAATCAATGATTCAAATACAGAGGTCAGGTTTAAACGGGTCAATCCCGCAGGAATTAACCTCCATCGGAGGTTGGGCCTGCAACTTTACAGGTCCGCTGCGTAAATGATATTTCAATCAATTTAATTTAGCTGGTAGATTTATTGTACTTACAATACCAAGCAAACTGACGGCCATCTAATGAAAGTGTCGCATCTAAACACAAACCACACCGTGGACGTCACACTTGTATACCTCAACTCTCTAAACTTAATTCCCGCACCGAAGCTGTTCGTAAACTGTATTAATTTTTTTTCTGAAGACATAATTGTAAGCCCCGCCTGCACTATTGGTTTTTGGCTTACTTATATTAATACTAGTGAGGAATAATAGGTCAGGTGCCTTATCGTGACAAATGTACTAAGACTAAACCACAATAGCACGATCCTACTATCATTGCCTTTTGCCTACATTTTCTTTTTGTCAATAAGTTATTTAAATAAATATAGGAATTGAATGATAGAAAGATGCGTGAAATGAAACTAGGCAAGAAGTGAATAAGAGGTATGGAGCGAAAGGGACAAAAAGAGATACGACAAACGTTGATAAAAGACGAAGTGTGTGCACGCACGTTATAATTGGTTTTATGATTTAATTGGTAATATTTTTCCATACTGAAGTTTTTAAAGGAGACCAAATTAAAACTTACTCCTTTTGGAATCTATAAATCGGAGTAATTTTTCACAATACTTTAATGATTAAATAATTTACATACATACATATCTGTCACACCTGTCTCCCATTAGGGTAGGCAGAAGCAATGGAACGCCAAATGCTTCGATTCAAACAAACCTCTTTCGCTTCTTCCACATTCATCAATCTTTTCATACACGCTCGCCGGTTACGGGCACTTTTAATTTGGCCCTTCTTCAGCACGTCGCCTATTTGGTCGACATACGTCCGTCTAGAGCGGCCCCTACTGACATTTCCATTCATTCTTGCTCAATAAATCTCTTTCGTAATCCTTATTCCATCCATCCTCTCCAAATGGATAAACCAACGCAGCAGCATTCCCTTTACGATTTTTGTCATTACATCGTCTTTCAGTCTACACACTGTTATATAAATAATTTAATGTGTGCGTATTTCTCCCGCAGTATATTAATTACAGTAATTATATCCTAACAAATTGCTAAGTTACCTGAATTGAAATAACCTATTTAAGAAAAGAGTACTTTTTGAAACTGATTTTTTGGAAGTCTCTCGCCCGATAACAATATTCAAACCTCACTGTAATATCATAAAATATACCTTTTATTTGTGTATGAATATAAATTATTTCTATTCTATTCATGTGGTGATTATCTACGGACGCGAGGGGTGCGTAATTATAACTATATATGCGATGTTGGCGGTCAGCCACAGCTATAGGTTTAACAGGCATTCGGTTTATTGAAACTAATTCTAATTTGTAGCTTCAGGTTCTCACCACTAAAATATATGGCGAGGGTTTTGCTCTAATCGCTAAGCAAGGCTGAAACATAATTAGAGCTTCCATCCATGAAACCGGAACGTTTTATCGCATACAAATTGAGCGGCCTATGTTTTCTCCACAGTTTAGGCCTTTCGATACATTATCCGAGGTAACTCGAACATGATGATGCAGTGACTGGTGCGTTGTTTTAGATAAATAATGTCCCGGAAATGTTTCTCGATGGAGTCAATTTATGAAAAGAAATTCTGAGTCTTAATCAAATTCGTAACCTTCAAGAAAAGAGCATATTCCCTTTTAAAAGGCCAACAGCACACCTGCAATGCCGTTGGTGTTGTAGGTGACCATTGACGGCAGTAGTCACTTATCATCAGGTGAATCGCATGCTCGTTTGCCCCCTGTGTTGTAAAAAAAAATTAATATAATTTGTAAGAAATATAGTTACAGAATATTGATATAATGTTAGATTGATAGAATAAGTAATGGCGTATGCAGCATTCTAATTTCTCTAGTTTTTATTCGCGACTTCGTCCACGTGACTGTGACATATTTATTAATCTAAGTCAATAAAAAAGAAGCCTAAAACCTTCTTTATTCCAAATACTTTGTGTATACAAAATTTCATAACAATTGGTTGATGAACCATTAAGGAGCCAATAGCTCAGCAAACAATCTCAATTTCACATTTATATATCATAATATTTATAAATTCATAATAAAAATACTCATTATTCGTTTTCAACCATTAACCTGCATAATTTATGTATGAAAACTTCACGGGAAGAACACAGAATGCCAGTAAATTGTACGTAAAGAAACAACATATCAAAATTTAATAATCACAATGTATCTACATTCCTTTATATATCTTATTTTTTTTTGAGAACTTTACAACTAGATTATTGTCATCCATTATACATAATTTTTTCTTGTGGGAATTTCGAGAAATTTATCTATTTATGGAATCGTATAAAATGTTGTATTTCCAGATGAATACAAAAAGCGAAAATATGTATCGTATTATTCGTACTGTACTATGTACCTCAATAGTATTTACTCCCGTGTGCGTTTCGTATTAATTTTGTAAAGATCTTAACCGCCATTTTGATCTGTTTGAAAAAATAAACACTGCTTGGTACGAAGCATAATTAAATTATAGACACAGTTTTGAGCATTCTAAATTCAAATATTTTTAACCTATGCGTCTACAAACAATCTCGTCATAAATTTGTATACTTAATGAAGAGTAAAGCTGCTAATGTTTGTGTAGCAAAACGTACTTGTTACACTAGATTTTTTAATTTAAGAGAAGGTTTATTAAGTTTAAATTTGAATAACAGTAGATGACACAATTCATAAATATCTCAGCTGTCTGTTGGCGGCGCCGGTCGCTGGTCGCTGGCCGCTGGACGCTGGACGCTGAGCGCTAGGTTCTCAGTGCACAGATCCGTCGACGGCGATCATTGTTATCGATACGGCCCCGCCGCGCCGCGCCGTGGCCCGCGCCCCGGCTTACGCAGAACAATCATCCTTTATTACTGGGATATATCTCTTTTGATAGACGCACAAAGTAATTTCATCAGCCTAGAGGTTATTAAAAGGAACGAAATAATAAATGGATGAATCGCCGAATACGTATAATCCTTGTATAATACATTAATATTAATCCAACCAATATCGATACGGCCCACGGACACCGATATAAATGGTGCATATGTCTTTTTTCTGCTTTGCTTTGCAGATATTTTTATCTCATTTCTTTATTATATAACAATAGAATAAAAGTTTATTAAAACTATTTTTTTTTTATTGCAAGAAAGGTTGTTGTTGGAGAGATTAAAAGAGTTGGCGTTCCATTGTTTCTGCCTACCCTAATGGGAGACGGGCGTGACAGATATGTATGTAAATGATAAACAAGTTAATAGCACTGTTAACAAAAAGTAATAACCATCGCCTCTAGACATGAAGAGCTAGATGCACATTACAGAATACACAGTGACACCCATGGTTTACTACATGCTTAGAAATAAAGGTGTTACACCTCCATTATTGCCCGCCGTCTGTAAACGTATCAAACGACGATGGCGGAAGAAGTACTGTCCTTTAGTAAATATTCGGATCGATTTTATATTACTTAACCCTTATAAGTTAGGAAGGGGCTAAATTTAGAGTGATCATTTGGTACACTCTTGAAATTACATTCAGTTTACTAAAGTTAAGAGATAAGTTAAGATTCATTGATGGACATTCGTTCGATTAATTTCTACGTAATTGAATTGCGCTTACCATCTCGGTAGACATTGATTGATTACAAGTGGCCTCCTCAGCTCCTGGTGAGACGTGACCGAGAAATTGTCGTAAAAAATATTCCATGGAATAACTTTGAATGACCTTTATATTTCCATTCGTCCATTTTTCTTTTATAACTGTCACAAAATCAATTACCTGATTTAGCTTGATAGACTTTGTACAAAGATCGTCGGCGCTTCCACTACCGCTCTCGTGATTCTGTCGCCAATCAACAATATATTTTTTAATGACTGATCAGGGTAACCCTGCCTCATCCACCCTATCTTGAGAGAGGAGACCTGCTCTTACCATCAGGGGGCGGGCCGCTGCCGTCAGAGATGTGGTGAGTGCGAAAGCGAACCCATGTCTCCGACATATGGCACCTCGAGGGTATATCGTCTGGTTTTTGGTGGGTACACCCCCACCTTACGGGGAGATTCCCACAGTACCCATTCACCTCCCACAAGGTGTATGGGTCTGCATAAAGCATTTTCCAGACGGTAAAAAGAAAAAGGGTAACCCTGCCTGTGCTCCCAGTATTCACTGGCAGGGCGTGAATACTGATGGGTACATACAGTGTTTTTTTTTACAACACAGGGGGCAAACGAGCATGCAGCTCACCTGATGGTAAGTGACTACCGCCGCCCATGGTCACCCACAACACTTACGGCATTGCAGGTGTGCTGCCGGTGTTAGTATTCATTATTGTTGTCATCTTGACTTAACTATTCACTAGCAAATGCAAAACAACTAGGGCTTCGTACACTGTGATGCCAGCGAGGCAGAGGTAAACACCAATTAATACATACCATAAAATCTGTTCATCCTATAATCCCATATTGGTGCCTACTCGTATCCCACAGGATATTTCGGGTATGGTAGCCCCTCGTCGGCAACCCAGATTGCTACACAAACCACTTGCCCGTACAAGACATGCAGCTCATGCACCCACGAATCGTGCATTGCACTTGATTGGGGATATGCTCGCTCGGTACGACGATGTTGACATTTACGCGGATGAGCTAGAAAAATTGGTTGATGCAGCTTATAGATTCTGGATTCTCTATGATATATCTCTGTTTGCTCTAATGTATATATTGACATTTTCAGTTATAATTGATATTGACATTGTATTATATATTATTATTGTTTTCCTTTTACTACAGTGGAAATAATTACAGAATTGACATTTTATGAAAATTGAATATAATCGTAATCTTTTATAGTTAATTATTACTATTATTTATTGTAAAAAATTTATTATTTATTGAACCAGAGGGAAATTTTGTACAAAAGTCGATTGCTTGGGTACCTCTGTCCCATTCGTATTTCTACCGTGATGCAGTTGTGTTTGCATGGCTGTGTTTCGGTTTGAAGGGCGGGATATGGCGTGAATTTACTGAATACAGAGGAATAACATCTGAGTCCTCAGGAATGGCAACGCATGGGGGGTATCATGGGCGAAACAGTATACTCTATTATGTCCATGGTACTGCTCATGTCTATAGGCGACGGTTAGCACTTTTCATCAGGTGGGCCGGCCGCCATTCCAAGTTGTATAAAAAAAAAACTTGACATGTACGTACAAATTGTAATTATCTGTAGTGCGTTGCAGTTTGATCACCTGTAAACTACAGGTAATAATAAATAAATAAATACGTAGTAGAAATAACATAGTGCGAAATGCCGGTTGCACATATTTCTGAAAGTAGCGATAAAAAAGTTAAAAACAGCATTATGTCGACTGTCCATAGCAAATACCACATTCTATCTCATGTGATTATTCCCGTCGGCCCCATTCTGTGGAAGACCCAATGAATTGAGCAATTTCATTTGCAATTTTTCATTTGATATCCTAAAATAACAAACATATTAAATGAAATGTTCGTATGAAAGCTCCTAGCAATATTATTGAGAATTTGTACGATGTGTTAAATTATTGTATAAAAACATTATAGATATAAGTAAACTTTATCGTAACAAAACTAATATGATACCAACACCATCAATATAAATAAACAAAATGAACAAAAACTTTGCTCACACATTCTGAGACCATTTTCATAATTCTATTTGCCATCGATTGATGTGCCTTCTGAGTCGGTTCTGTATTAAATTTTATGCTGTTAAAATTCGCTGTTGTTTTTGTGGAGTACGCAAAACTTTTTGTTTTTTTATTCATTTCAACTCTACAAATTCAAATAATTGCCATTTCTGGATGCGACCCAAGTGTTTGGATTGCTGTTTAGTAAATTAACTATACGAGGTCTGTCCGGAAAGTTCGTATAAAAGTGTTCTGGAATGCGAGAAAGAGGAGTGGGGAGGCCAGGTAAGCGCAGGACCCCTTCCTTATGTCCCTAACAATGCTTCAGTTCTGGTCTGACCGCCGTGCGGTGCGAACTGGCTTGTCACGCCATCTGTGAAGTTACCTCTTAACGAAACCCCGTCGGCATGGAGCCCGCTTCCGTTGAAGAGCAGCGCGTCGTAATCAAGTTTCTCTCGAAACTCGGCAAGAATGGCCGTGAAATTTTTGCCGATCTCAGAACAGTTTATGGGGATGATGCTGTGAAGGAACCAACCGTCCACAAGTGGCTAAAAAGATTCAGAGAGGGCCGAGACAATGTTGATTGTTTTTTTCGATGTTCGGGGGATTGTCCATCAAGAATTCGTCCCTCCAGGCCAGACAGTTGATGGAAAATTCTACGTCGATGTGCTCAGACGCCTCAAAGCTCGTGTGGCACGAGTTCGTCCAGAATTGGCGCGAGAGGGGCGTTGGATTCTTCACCACGACAATGCCCCTGCCCACACCTCTCTTGTTGTCCGTGAGTTTTTGAGTAAAAATTCCATTACGGTGACCGAACACCCCCCTATTCGCCGGATTTGGCCCCGTGTGACTTCTTCTTGTTCCCAAAAACCAAATTGGTACTTCGGGGGCGGCATTTGGGGGACATAAATGAGATAAAAAAAGCTACGACGGGGCAGCTGAGAAACCTACAACCAGAGGACTTTCAAGGAGCCTTCTCACAGTGGAAACGGCGTTGGCACAAGTGCATTATGTCACAGGGGGAGTACTTTGAAGGGGATAAAATTGATTTACCTGAATAATTGTAAAATAAAATTTTTAAAAAACTTTTATACGTACTTTCCGGACAAACCTCGTACAATTAATGATTGTTAATTGTCGACGGAGTGGAATACTTCATGAATATTTGCCTACTGTCAGCTCAATTAATAAGACGAGACTATCAATTTTCAGTGAAATTGATACAATTGTGAAGGGAAACCGAATTAGTTATAAAGCTAACTAGCTATACAGTTCATTATCTATAATTAAAACTTGATACTACAATTACTACATAAACTATCATTAAGTAGGCAGGGGTATTTATTTATTTATTTATTCATTCATTAGTACAAATATGTGTACATGGCGGACTTAATGCTGAAAGCATTCTCTCCCAGTCTACCATAGGGAAGTGTCAGAATACTCGAATGCGGTACTACTAATTATTGTCAGTCATATAAATGGCGTTTTAAAAAAAAACAAAAATTATTTATATGTTAGTATAAGATGGTAATTACATACATACAAACATTCATAAAATAAACATACATAGTAATATAGTATTTATATATTAATACTTACGAATAAAATATTTAGTAATATCTCTTCCATTTATTCCAGGGTTCGAAGGCACCCATGTTATGATATTCATCGGCTTCGGTTACCTTATGACGTTTCTCAAGAAATACAGCTACAGCGCTCTAGGGTTCAACTGGCTACTCGCCGCCCTGGTCGTGCAGTGGGCCCTGCTGTGCCAGTCATTCTATTACATGGAGAACAATATCATCTGGATTACCAAGAAGTCCTTGCTCGGTACTTGTCAAATATATTGATATTACTTCGACACATTTCATTACTGGTTACGAATCATCTTAATAAGAAAAGTAAATGAACCTAACGCTACGGAGCTTGCTAAGCGATGTAATATATACAGGCTTTTATTTCAAGTTTTATTTAATATATATATATATATATATATATATATATATATATATATATATATATATATATATATATATATATATATATATATATATATATATATATATATATATATATATATATATATATATATATATATATATATATAATTGTATATATATATAATATATATAAACAATTTGTCGCTTTATACTATATTCTGGGGATAATAGGAGTGATATTACGTTACCACACAAAACACGGTTTTGGTAAAACTTTACATACTAGTAAGAATAGAATTGTCTATAAATAAATACCTACGATACGATTTATCCTATATCCCGTGTGGTCCTGACGTAGAATAGTACACCCCTTCCTTTAACGTGGGTGTTGTAAGAGGCGAGGGATGGGCAGCAGCGTCCCGCTTAAAACATCTCCAAAGCCTAACTGCGATCGCCAATCCGCCTGCCAAGCGTGGCAACTACTGGCACAGCCCTCCCTAGGGGGAAGCTTACATTCAGCAGTGGACAGTTAAAAGCTGATGAAATGTTGATGATAATACGATTTATAAATAAACTTACTAATACAACATTAACGTAAATGTAAAAATTAAAAAAATGTAGAGGTATTTATTTAGTCTCGCTTCAACAACTTGTCACAATTTAATTTAATCACAATAAGTACACAGATTGACGAGCCTAGACTAATATGAAGAAAATTACTCTTTATTCTAATTGATATAAAAACCCCAGCGAGAAATGGCTAATAAAAAAATTTAAAAAAAAAATACCTAACATTACGAAAATAGAAAGAAATGAATCAGAAATGGAATTCGTGATTCTTCATTCAAATATAAAATTATTGGTTTCCAGAACTCTCATTATCAAGTCTTTCAAGTTGTATTAACAAAAATTCCACTTTTTGTTCTCTCTCAAAGAAAATTAGACAAGTACAAAATTCAATAATAACATCGATGAAGATACATATCCGCCACAAGAGGATAATGTATCTCAATAACATCGAAAAATTAACAATGATTTATTGGGAAAAATGTTAAAAGAAAAGAAATCTGTTTCTTTAAATAATATTAATACAAAGAACTTGGAAAAATTAATTAAGTAAAACCAGCCATACGTAGGTTTAGTTAAGTAAAATACCATGTTATTATTGTAAAATTAAATACGACATTTCTTAGATATATTGTGTGGGTTTCTTGCTTGAGTGCGTTTTGTCTAATATCCATCTTTTATTGTTTAATGTTTCATTAACACACATTATATTTTAACGTAATAACTACCGGTAAAATTTACTTGTAATTAAATTAAAGAAGGATTGACTAGTTTTGGGATCAATTCGTAAGCCTTAATCATAAGGTCAGGCTCGCTCTTGTAGTTATTTCATTAAAACGTATCCATCTGTTGCTATTCCTAAATTCTAAGGTATCTGTAATTTCACCGCCATTTTTACCTTTTCATGTCGAAATATGACATACAAATACAGTTACTTAATGATAGGAAAATATGTAGTTTGGAATAGTATGCAAGGGACTTCTATATAAAAGCGCCCTCTGGTGAAAATACAGATACATACCACACCTTTTATTATTTTATATATTTATCGATTACATTAGCTATCATTGTCATTTTAGAAGCCGACATCATGGCGGCCACTATACTTATTACATTTGGAGCCCTGCTTGGCATTGCAAGTGGGATACAATTGCTTTTTATTGCTATCGTTGAGACCGCAGTAGCCTGTTTGAATCTTTGGTTGCTGTCAGACGTTTTTAAGGTACTTTTTCACTTTTGTTTTTCTACAAGATTGGTTTAATTTGCAACGTCGTTTGTTGTTTTAATCATTTATCAATATGAAATTTCCTATACACGGGGGATGAAATGGATGATATATTAGATGGATATATTTAGTCTGCTTTTCATCCCGATCAATGAATATATTCCGGTCATATTTAGCTAATACTGCAATAACAATGTACCCTTGAACTGGTTTGATAATAGTGCAACAAGAAAATTTGGTGTAAACTAATTTTGAGTTTGAGCTCACTTGATTGTATGAAGTGAGCTCAAGCTCGCTGCAGCTGAATATCAAATATATAACTCATCGTTCACACAGAGCGGTTCAAAGAGTAGAGCAGTTTTTGATCGCGTTTTAACGTATATATACATATGTTTACATAATGAGGTTAATGAAAAAAATTTTATTATTTAATTTTTAAAGTAAAATTACAAAATTTCATTATAATTAGGAAACTAGCCGTCAAATAACACCAAGAGACAGCGCAATAGTTTCAATTATACTATCAAATATTTTAACAGATATATCCCAAAGATCTTCGTTTTAATTTATTATTAAGTGATTTAAAAGTCTTTATTGTATGTATCGGAGTTATATGTTTAATACTGAATACAGCTAGTGGATTACTAAAACTACTAGTAAAGCTTCAGCTACAGATAAGGACAAACTCAAAAATTAAAGTATTGTAAATGGTATATTAATAAAAAAAAAGATTCCAAAATATTTATTACTTCAGTTAATTAATATAACAATTAATATATTAGGAAATACTTTATTGTTTCTTTATATAATGAATAAACTCAAAGACTATTCAACCAATTTTACAAAATTTTACGCCTATAGAAAGCTACATTATCAGCGAATGACATAAGCTATATATTATTTTAAAAAATTCTATCTACCCGTGCAAAGTCAGCCCAAAAAAACTAGTTATTAATATTTAAAACAATTTAAGTATCATGAGCCTTTACCTACTTTTCTTACTTCTTTTTACTTTTTATTGTAGATGTACATACTTATTCCTATCTTATCTTTTAAAAATATGTAACAACCTTCATATTAGCATTATGGTAATAATTTTAGGCAGCGGATGTTGGCGGCTCTATAGGAATACACACGTTTGGAGCGTACTTCGGACTTGGTGTCAGTGCCGCGTTGAGATACAAAAAAGCAAACTCTACTGAAGGAAATGAAGAAACTGTTCAAACAAACGACCTAAACGGACCCAGCTACGTATCGGATGTAACTGCTATGATTGGTAAACTAACAGTACATATAATAAAACTATGACTAACTATATCTCGCACAAAGTAATAAACGAATTGAAACATTTAATGTGATGGAACTTAGAACCATGATCATAGAATGCTTTTTACTGCAGGAAAGTGTCTTATGTTTTTTAAAACTCGGTAAGTAACGCGGTCTTTTAAATAAAATATAATCTCTTAAAAAGAATGAAAGTTCAAAAGTTAAAATATTCCAATCCCAAGAGAAAAACGAAAACTCACTGCGGAAACAAAGTTGCAGCATGCATTGCAAAATACAAAAATAGAATGCCAGCTATTAGCTGTATAATTCTCAGCTATTTGTAAATTGTAAATTACATTGTTAATGAATTTATAAATATTGTGAGCAAGGGTGGACTTATCTCTGACAGAGATCTCTTCCAGTCAACCCAATATAGTTAAAAAGCATATCGTTAGCGGGCAGCTGAAGTGCTACAACTATTAATATTTAAAGTATTAGTTATTTCGAAGAGTTTCAGAAATATCTAACCAATAATTCTTAGAAATGTCTAGAAACCAAATATCAATCTGTTACTCAACCGTTCAAAAGTATGTCAACATCTTACAAAGTAAATAAAGAGAGGGAAGTGGCGGAGCTATTTTGGTAAATTCTTTTTATTTTCAACAGTCTGCCATTCAGGGTTGTCTGTTGGGACGAACCTAAAACTTTGTAATAATAACAGACATTATTTCGACAATTCAAAAGGTATTCATAGCTTGTCGATTTGAAAACGGTGCTTCTTGGAAAATCCTTCTAGTTTAAGGTGTTAGGACTCCTACTCATCTCACAGTGACGTCAACCAAAAACTTTTCAATTTCCATAATTTAATGGAAAAACAATTTCCATTAGCAAACACCCAGGCTATATTTGAATTTCGATTTATTTAGTGTTATCATGACTCTGTTTAGTAACTTAAAATAATTAAAACTAATCAAGGGATGGCCGTGTGGTCCCGTCATAGAATAGGTCACCCCTTCCTTTCCCGTGGGTGTCATAAGAGCCGACTAAGGGAGAGGGATGGGCAGCAGCGTCCCTCTTAAAACATCTCTAAAGCCTGATTGTGGTTGCCAATCCGCCTGCCAAGCGTGCTAACTACTGGCAGCATCCCTCAAGCGGGAAGCTTATGTTCAGCAGTGGACAGTTAAAGGCTGGTATGATGATGACGATGATGAATCGAAGGGATAAGTTTCTTTTAAAGGCTTATTCAAGTACATAAATGAAACAGTAAGTTTGTGTTTTCAATCCTTGAAAGCTTTGTATGAATTTATATTTAAATTTATAGTTAAGAGACAAGTTAAAAATTGAATTTTTAAATACAGTACAATCTTCACTCTTTGATATTTTTAATAGACTCTAAAATTGAGAAGGTATTTTTTTCCCTAAAACTTTATTTCTAAAACTTTCTTTTTTCCATTTCTTCTCTAATTCCAAATCGATTTTGGTAATTATTTTTGCAATCAATTTACCCAGATATTGGCCTCAAATTAATTTTATCACAATATAAATTACTATTATTACGAAACATAATCCTGCTTGTTTTAGGATCTATATTCCTTTGGATTTACTGGCCATCATTCAATTCGGGGCTGGCCAACACAGATGTAGAGTATCAAAAAGCTGTCATCAACACATACTTGTCACTGGCCGCTAGTACCGTAAGTTTAAACTTATCATTTACTAGTTGTATCCCGCGGTACTGTTCATTTGAATTAGAAAAAATTCTTAAAAACAAAATTTTATCTCTCTATCTATAGTGCCGGGGTCTAGTGACTGTACAATATTAAAAAAAGTTGAATATCAGTTTGACTGGAAAATTTTAGGCCATTCATTCATATAATAATAATATTAAATTAGTTAATGTGAGGGAGACTTTGTACAAAAGTCGATTGCTTGGGTACCTCTGTCCCATTCGTGTTTCAACCGTGAAACAGTTGTGTTTTCATGGCTGTGTTTCGGTTTGAAGGGTGGGATATTCGACGACGGACGGACGATTCGAGGGCAGTCAGCTTGTTTGTCATTTTAAGTTGTATAAAAAAAATGTGAATAATAACGGAATATATGTTTGTGCTCTTAAACTACTTATTACATTAAATTTATTATATTTCTCTAATAATACTGATACCTATTATTATCAATTTTTTAGATACTGTACAATGACTGGACACAACATATCTCTTCGTTCAATTCCGTTCAGTCATTTCGTTAGCGAGATTAACAATCAAATATACTTGAAATAATAACATATATTTTATGAATATACCACACATGGCCTTCTTACTTTATTTACCTAACATTATATTTTAGTCTAGACTATATTGATTGATATTCATTCAAGTACTCATTTCGTTCAATTGATATTATCTTTTTTTTTTCAATGCTTATTTACAACTTAATTATGTTTACTTTGCAGACAGTTTCTAAAAAATAGACTATATTATAAAGTTATGAAATTTTTTTACCGTAATAAATATTAAAATAGAATGTAATGAAATATTAATATAAATATTATTTTTAAAGGACTTCAGACAGTATGTAATTTAACTGTTTAATAGTGTGCGTTGCGCCCACTATCTTCACAAATTATAATCTAACTTATAAAACCCTTTTTATAGTTCTGTACCTCCAAAGAAAAGAATGGCACCCTTACAGGAGCATTTTGTTGTCCGTCAGTTCGTCAGTCCATCTGTCAAGTCCTTTTTTCTTCGGAACGCGTAAAGGTATCAAGTTGAAATTGATATCATATACTCAGGTCTACAATCACTTAAAGCAATGAAAAAAATCAAGCTTCTAAATCGACGCAATCAAAATATACGGCCGTTGTTAATGTTCCATTTATATCGCATATTATGACATTCACAAAGGGAATCAAAACCTATAGGGTACTTCCTGTTGACCTAGAATTAGGAAATTTGCGAAGAAGCAATATCATGTAGCACAAGTAAAAAAAAAATGAGAAAACCATAATATTGTAGTAATTTAAAAAAAATATGCTTGACGATTTTGTACGGAACTTTCGTTGCGCGAGTCCGATTCGTACTTGACCGGCTTTTTTAAATATTTCTGTACTCCTTTCATACTATAATTGTATCTAGATTGAAATCGATTTTTTTTAACTTGCTAAAGTGTACATACAACCGTGTCTTGACACTTGATGGAACTTTGAATCTATATTAACCTGTACAATGACAATTAAATTCAAATTATTCCACAGAGGAAAGGAAAAAAACAGATAAAACTTTGATCAAGCTTTAAAATTACAAAAGTGGCTAACAATTTCTTATAACAATTCTTGAAATTGTAGGTAGAAGCAATAATGTAATCTGCTTAATTACCCTCATCTTATTATAACCAAATATAACATGTCTTGCCTAATTCGCTCACCAGACATAATATGAGCGGAATTTAATTATATGAATAGTATAATAACTCAACCGAGCTAATATTCTCAGCAGCTAGATACGAAATTATAGTACTGAAATGTTTGCCTCTTCGTGGTCGTGCAATCTGCTGTGTAGTCTAAAATTTAATACCTATTCCCATTAAATATATATTAACCTGTATACAGATGTACTGCGTTGTTACGACTATAATTTACGGCAACACTGCACCGCTACATAGAAGAGTGAAGTATAAAGTCAAATAAAGTGCACGTAATTATAGACGCGCTTCTATAATTCTACGACGACGACAAGTACGAGCATGGAAATTAAAAAGCGTCTTCTATTTTTCAATTATTTGCATAATCAATGTGCTTACTACTGCAGCTTCTTATTTTTTCGTCACGATAAAAAAAACAGTAATGCAAACCCGCTGTTATTGGCGTTTATTAAAAGAGTACGAAAATGTTGCTATTATAAAAATACAATTTGAGTATTGCCAGCCGGTACGGTACATTATAAAAACACCCACCGGACAATTAAAGCTGATTAATAAGGATTATTAATTTAATAATCTCTATTAAAAAAGTATACGCTATAAATTGGTTCAGAGTTTACGGAAATATCGCTACCATATCAAAAAAACGGGCGAATTACAGTTATTTTCAATTAAACTTACTAATAAGGCAACATTTTTTTGTTGAAATTATCACAAAATCACTCTCTGAACTGAATTAGTAATCGAAACATTTAATGAATTGATTTTCATTTATATACTATTACTGAGCAGCAATGAACTGTTCGCTCGAATCAAGTATTCATTTGTTTATATTTTAATTGAGTTCTATTGAAACAAGCTATAAAGCTATCCACTAGTTTGACACCCCTAAATGAATTATACATCTTTTTTTTTAACATTACCAGGTCACAACATTCATCCTGTCGTCGGCAGTGAGCAAAACCACGGAAGGTTCGACATGGTGCACGTGCAAAACTCTACGCTGGCCGGCGGCGTCGCGGTGGGCTCCGTCAGCAATATGGAGATCGGGCCTGGCGGGGCCATCGCCGTAGGCATTGGCGCGGGCATCATCAGCGTACTTGGATATACATATTTGACAGTCAGTTATTTTTTATGATATTTACAACGGCACACGCTGACGACCCACCTGATGATAAGTGGTAACCGTCGCCTACAGTCATAAACAACTTCATAAAGATCACAAAATACATTATAACAATCCATGGTACGTCTCATGCGTTGACAATTCCGAAAACTACTGTGTTATGCCTTCATCACCTGTAATTTCACTGCCTATCTTGAACTAAAGCACAGCCGTGCAAATATAGCTGCTTCACAGTAGAAATACGAGTAGAGCAGAGATGGCCAAGCTAGATTTTTTAGCATAAAGTCTCCCTGTGGTAACTTCTTATCTGAAAGAGACAATCGAGCATTTGTCTCATCTGATGATAAGTGATTAGCGCAGAGTATTAAGATTAACAACACCAGAGATTTTGCTTATGCGTTGCTAATTTTTTAAAAAAGTATTAAAACTAGGATATGGCAATGAAATTACTGGGTACAAAGGCATAACATTATATTCCTCAGGAATGGTAACGCATAAAGTATATCATGGGCGGCACAGTATACTCTGTTATGTCCATAGTACTAGTTATGTCTATAGGCAACGGTTACTAATTTCCATTAAGTGGGCCGTCAGTTTGTTTACCATTCTAAACTGCATATTTTTTTTAAAAAGACTATAGTTATGCTTTGTTCACAGCCGCGCCTCACTAAGCTTGGCGTGTCAGACACGTGCGGTGTGAACAATCTACATGGCATGCCAGGAGTGTACTCTGGCCTCCTCTCCGTACTATTTGCTGGTATTGCCACGCAAGACAGTTACGGGGCTGCGGGACTAGCCAGCGTCTTCCCTAGAATGGCCAAGGTATCATTACAATTATAGGAATGGGCGATATTGAAAAATTCTTAAGCTAATTTTAAATTCTCAACAAAAATAGGTGTGTTATTAAATTTCGTAAGTACCTACGCAAGTCATTCATACGCGTAAGTCAATCTGACTATTCTTGCTTTTGAAATAAACATATAAATATATATGAGAGGCTCTGCCTATGTGTAAATGCCCTAATCACCTACTGTAAGAGGAGAAAGGAATTGTTAGCAATGGAATTTGCCCCATTGCTAGCAATATGCCCTATTAGGTTGACCTCCACGTGATTCCCCCTGGAAACTATCGTGAACAATTCTTGTTGAATTTGTCACGATGGGCTAACTGCCCGGCTTCATCCTTCACTGGTGCCTCGCCGGTGTACACCGTAAGCGCGGATGGAGTTACCATCCCATTATCACCATTTAAAAAAACCACCTACTGTAATATATTATATTCACGAAAGGACTAACAGAAAAAAAATTCTAATTTTATCCTCATCTATCATTACTCACTGGTACACCGCCACCGTATAGCAATAAAGCGAGCGCGGTTACCATTCCATTTCTACCCATCAAACCACAATTACCACCAATATACAAATACCACAGTAGGAGGGAAAGGGATTGTTAGTAATGGGATTAAATAACCCCATTAGTAGCAATATACCCTGTCAGGTCGACCTCTACGTGGTTCCTCCTGGAAACCATCGTGGTTAATTCTAGTCGAATTCGTCAGGATGGGCTAACTGACCTGCTTTCATCTTCATCAGTCATCTATCACTGGTGTCCCGCCAGCGTATACCGTTACCGCAAGCGTGGTTACCATTTCATTATCACCCATTTAAAAAAAAAAATACCACTGTAATATATAATAATAATCAGGTTATGGAATGAGCTCCCTGCCGAGGTTTTCCCGAGAGACTACAGCATGGGGTTCTTCAAAAGGGGGGTAAAGAAGTTTCTTCAGGGTCGGCAACGCGCGCGTAATACCTCAGGTATTGCAGGCGTTCATAGGTTACGGTAACCACTTACCATCAGGTGGGCCGTATGCTTGTTTGCCACCTCAGTGGTATAAAATATATATATATATATATATATATATATATATATATATATATATATATATATATATATATATATATATATATATATATATATATATATATATATATATATATATATATATATATATATATATAAATAACGGTACCACAGTATTATATAAAAGAAAATTAATCAAACTATTGTATTGAGGGTTTTTAAAATTTTTAATAATAATATCTTTATTAGAGACTACAACATCGCATTTTGTTAGTAACATTATCTCAGCCTAATATTAGTACTAACTAAAAAATCTTACAAAAAAATTATCAAATTTGTTAATTTGTTAAAGGTCAAATTAGCTATTGTATCCCATTTGAGATTCCACAACAGTGTAATTAATATTACCTCTATTTCATTGTCTGCTCTGTAAACTTACCCTCCTGCAGTCAATCTCTATTGGCCGACAATATTTCAATATTATTTAGAAATATACGTAATATATTGATAAAATAATAACCTTCAATTGAATAGTAGCGGTTCGGCGATGCGAACAAGTTTCCTCTCGGTCGGCTCGTGTTGAATTACTCTGAATTGTACATAATGACCAAAGTGCGCGATGCCCTTTTTATTCCAACAATAGCTTCTGGTCCCACTGTCGGTAAACTATTTTGTCCTTGACCAAATATTGCAAATAATATTTGTAGTACAGTCGTAACTGTAGCTCCACATTAGAGTAATCGAAGACATTAGTCGACTGTTGTGGTGAACAGTACCGTGTAATCCCGGCATAGAATGGATCACCCCCTCTTTTTCCGTAGGTGTCGTAAGAGATGATTAAGGGAATTTAATAATCGACGGATGTGTAGCAGCATCTCTCTTAAAACATCACAAAAGCCTAACTTCGATTGCCAAACCGTCTGCTAAGTAGGTACGGCATCTACTGAACCCCGCCTCCCTCCCAATGGGCAGTAGTTTTTTTTTAATGGGTGATAATGGAATGGTAACCCCACCCGCGCTATCGGTATACACTGGCGGGGCACCAGTGAAGGATAATAGGTGAGGATGAAGCAGGTCAGTTAGCCCATCGTGATGAATTCAATAAGAATTGTTCACGATGGTTTCCAAGAGGAACAACGTGGAAGTCGACCTACTAGGGCATATTGGGGGGAAAGGGATTGTTAGTAATGGAGACTGAGAATCCCATTGCTAACAATATACCCAACCAGGTCGACCTCCTCGCGGTTCCCCCTGGAAACTATCAAGGTTAATTCCTGATGAATTCATCATGATGGGCGAACTGGCCTGTTTTCATTCTCATCTATCACCCTTCACTGGTGCTCCGTTAGCGTATCCCGTTAGCGCAGGCAGAGTTACCATAGCATTTTCACCCATCAAAAAAAAATTAGGGCATATTGCTAGCAATGGGGCTGTTAAACTCTATTGCTAACAATCCCCCCTATGGTCAGTAGGGGCACTAATATAGTATTAAATTATCTGTGGTAGTGGATAATTACCGGCTGTTATAATGATGATGATATGATGAACAGGAGGGGGGGGGGGGGGATTGTTTACTAACTTTTCTGAATTGAGGTATGAACAACCAATACTAGCAAAACATCCTATCAGGATACGTCCCTATTTCCCCTACCCTTATATACCCATACGTTCCTATTCCACCCATTGTTTTCTGTACCCAGTAAATTCGTGCCATATCCCACCCTTCAAACCGAAACACAGCCATGCAAACACAACTGCTTCACGGTAGAAACACGAAAGGGACAGAGGTCAACCAAGCAATCGACTTTTGTACAAAGTCTCCCTCTGGTATAATATTTTCTTGTAATTGTTTGTTTGTATCTATAATAAATTTACTATTAAAATCTTATGGAGGAAACAATAAAGAGTATCTATCTATCTAAGTGATTTGTCAACTAACCTAACTTCTTTCTTCTGTATAACTTCGCACTGATGTTCCGCCAGAGTATACTGATAGCTCAGGCGAGGATTCCGATTTACATTTCCTTTAATAAAATAAATGTTGAGATGGACGAACTACTAGAACACTTCTATCAAAAAAAAAAATGTGCGCAACATTTAATGGTATGAGAAATTTTCTGTCTCTCGTATTAATTACGTTTGTTAACTGTAGCTGGTTGTCAGTCCCAGGAATTTCAAGCAGAAATTAAAATGGGCACGAAAATAAAATATTTAAAAGGGTTTAGTCACAAGTAATTTAAATTTTGTGTCATTATTTACATATATATCATTATTTATCCCGCATTTTCAATGGTCCCCCGACCACGAGCCGTGAAAAGTATTCAAAGTTGAAAATTCTACAATATGCGTCTGAAACGCGTTTAAATATTTAAAACGCAAAAAAAATGTATGTGTCATGTCAATTTAAAAAGAAGCTATTATTGTTATGTTATATTATTAATTATATCACAAAAAAATTGCATTGAAATAAAAAAAAACTAACTATCTACACATCTGACAGAAAATGGTAACCGATCCTGGGGTCTAAGATGAGCAATGCTCGGTAATTTCACTACTGCAAACCTGCGCTACAAACAAAAACACAGACATGCAAATACGGTAATAGATACACTAATGACGTACTGACTCCCACTCATTGTTTGCAATTTTACACAAAGTCTACCTCTGGCAAACCTAATTTACGCAATCCAACGTGCCACTGCTCAGAGAACAAATTAACTAGGAAGGTACAATTATCATCTTCTAAAACAAAAATGTCGTACAGGAGGGGACGTCAGCCAGCAGCCAAGCATTATACCAGTTCATAGCACTAGTCGTCACAATAGGACTGTCCGCGGGATCGGGATTCGTCACTGGTGAGTTCTCTATCTTTATTCTATCGGCTAGGTCTTAACATTTTAACTGCTAAGAGCTCACCTCGCCTGGTGAATTAAGCATGTCGCTTCAGCAGTGCTCCTCTACTCCCGTGATACTAACATTTCACGTGTACGCACGAATTGGCCACACGAGTCGATATAATCCATACATCAGTACTTACTATTGCATTTCTATTTATTTGTTTTATTTAATTCTTTATTGTACACACCAATTATTTATAAGAATATGACAGAGGTAATCAAATGTACAAAGGCGAGCTAACTCTAATAGAGTTTTCTTCCAGCAACACCCAAATATCTCATATAATTTTTGTTGAAACAGGCATTAATAGAGGTCAATGTACTGGCAAATGAAAACAAAAGAAGGTTACATGTACGAGGTCTGTCCGGAAAGTTCGTATAAAAGTGTTCTGGAATGCGAGAAAGAGGAGTGGGGAGGCCAGGTAAGCGCAGGACCCCTTCCTTATGTCCCTCACAATGCTTCAGTTCTGGTCTGACCGCAGAGAGACATAGCTTGTCACGCCATCTGTGAAGTTACCTCTTAACGAAACCCCGTCGGCATGGAGCCCGCTTCCGTTGAAGAGCAGCGCGTCGTAATCAAGTTTCTCTCGAAACTCGGCAAGAATGGCCGTGAAATTTTTGCCGATCTCAGAACAGTTTATGGGGATGATGCTGTGAAGGAACCAACCGTCCACAAGTGGCGAAAAAGATTCAGAGAGGGCCGAGAAAGCGTTCAAGATGACCCACGTTCAGGACGTCCTTCCACTTCACATTCCGACGAAAACGTGGAAAGAATTCGAACTTGTGTTAATGGGGACCGTCGTTTAACGGTCAGACAGGTGGCTGAAGAGCTTAATTTGGGCAAAACCGTGGTCCACGAAATTATAAGAAACGAACTTCAAATGAAAAAAATTTGCGCCAAGATCGTTCCGTGAGTTTTTGAGTAAAAATTCCATTACGGTGACCGAACACCCCCCCTATTCTCCGGATTTGGCCCCGTGTGACTTCTTCTTGTTCCCAAAAACCAAATTGGTACTTCGGGGGCGGCATTTGGGGGACATAAATGAGATAAAAAAAGCTACGACGGGGCAGCTGAGAAACCTACAACCAGAGGACTTTCAAGGAGCCTTCTCACAGTGGAAACGGCGTTGGCACAAGTGCATTATGTCACAGGGGGAGTACTTTGCAGGGGATAAAATTGATTTACCTGAATAATTGTAAAATAAAATTTTTAAAAAACTTTTATACGTACTCCGGACTCTCGTATAGAAGAGGCCTAGACTGACCTATCATAGTCAGATAGGACGATAGAAACGCATGAAGCAATAAAAGTTTGTATTTGAGTCAGAGAGACATAGATGATAATAATTTTTTTTGTAATGCCACTTGTCATGGCATATAAACTGATGGGGCTTCATATGCGTATTTTAAAAGGGTGAAAACTCTAATCACCTCCCCGAAACAATATTCAATAAAATTATTTGTTGCACCCATAGTACCTCTTAAATTACAAAAGAATGGAATACAGTAAAGTGATGCAAAACTGTCAGTTATATCGATAAGCAGTGTAAGTATAGAAACCCTTTGCATTAATTCTCTCCGCCTGTCCTACCTGTCCCGCAAGGATAGGTAGCTTGATAACACATATCAAAGATAATTTCTTAAATATATGCTTAAAATCTTTTTAATCTTTTTTCAGGTCTATTGTCGAAATTATCCTTCTTTGACTCTCTGAAAGAAACGGAGAAATACGACGACGAAGTCAACTGGGAGTTACCTTAAATCAGTTAAACATAAAAAGATAACACAAAAAGATATCTTACCCAATGGTTAGCTGGTAGAGAATGCCATATGGCATTAAGCTCACCACTTGTACAAAGTTTTATTGTGCAATAAAGAATAAATTAAAAAAAAATTATATCTTAAAATTTTTGCCACGTTATATTACGTAAAGTTTTAAGATAAAATATATATATATATATATATATATATATATATATATATATATATATATATATATATATATATATATATATATGTACTTATAACATTTAATAGTAATATATATCTGTCCACTGAACATAGGCTTTTACCATTGACTGCCATAAGGAACGGAGTTGTTCTCTGTAGCAGTTTACCATTGGGGAGATTTTGTCAGTTGTTGCCACGCTTGGCAGGCGGATTGGCAACCGCAGATTTGTTTCTGGTGATGTTTTAGGAAGAACGCTGCTGTCCATTTATCGACTATTAAATTCCCTTAGTCCCCTCTGACTGCATTATCATGAAAAGAAGGGAGTGGCCCATTAATAATTAATTAAATAGTTAAGCGCGAAAATAAATTTAAATATTAAATGTCCAAAATAAATAAGAAAATTTTAATGAGTTCGGATAAAATCTAAACATTGAAGGAGTCAATAGAATATTACTAATGGAACTAAATATTATACCTAAAGAAATATAGATCATAAAATGAGAGAATCTTGGGTCCCTTAGTACTATAAGAATTTCAAAATTCTTTTGTCATTCGCCGTTGCATGTTTCTTTGGGAAAAATATTCACTGCTGGAACATTTCCTATAAAAGAATGCTTACGATTTGGATTCCACCCCGTGGGCGTATCTATAGATATCATGTTAGCACAATCTAAAGAACTTTTAATATAAATATAAAAAAGTAGAATCCATATGTATCCAGAATTCAATTTAATAAAATCTTAATATATAAAAATTCCATGTCCCGATGCTCGTTCATGCTAATCTTCGAATTCGCTCAACCGACTTAATGAAATCTTTTAAATATGTATGTCTGTTCCAAGTTGAGAGATAAAATAGAAAAAAAATGGTAGGTAATGGCAAAGGGGAAAATAAGTCAATTAATAATTATATATAAAAGAGGTTACATTGCACATTATGATGACGTTTATCGTTTATCGAGTAAAAGTTAGGCCTGGGTAATACAGATACCAATCCGATATTGGGTTTCTTTGGACAGTGATCGCGGAAAAAGGTCTTCACCTATCGCCCATGCCGGTCAGATCTATTTTTGAATATGTAAAAGTCGTTATCTAATATTATTTTTTGAATAACATACTTTTAACACATTCGTTATTGGACCAGTATATAGATATTGTAACTAAAATAAATAAATAAATGCTATATATTACCTACCCCTAGTAAAAGTGTCAAAATCACAAAGAACAACTGTAACATTTGTCAAGTTTTTGACAATTTATAAACACTATAATTCCGGTCACGCAGTCTATAGTACTCCTAAAATATTCCCCCAAAAGTCACACCATTTATTAAAATGCATCAGATTATTTACACTAATAAATTAATCCATATAATCAAAGTATATGCAAGTAGCACGTGAAATACATCACCTTCTATACTGTTACAGTCGGGTAAAATGGATCCTAGAAGAAAATAACGAACGGTCTTATCGCTAAAAACGATCTGCACCTTCGGATGGAAAGGTCCAATTTGATAGTTTGGTCGGAGGCGCAATAATGGAGTATCATTTAGACATAATCCCCCTTATTTATTAAAAGCACGTTACTATCTGTGACGTAACTTTGATAAAAATAGGCTTTACTCATTAATTCCAACATGATTATTCTCCGTTCAAGTTAAAAAAAAAATTTCGAATAAACTTAGTACGTTTGTCGAGTGTAAAATAAAGCTAGAAATCCGTTGCGTAGTTTAGAAGAAGCCGTTAAGGCTTCTTTTAAACTACGCAACGGATATTGATACGGGTTTCCCTATTTTTATAAACAATTTGCAATCGTGCAGAGCAAATTTTTTTTTTTTTATAATTCAAAGAGTAGTGCCACTATTATGTTCAAATTAATTTAAACTGTCATCTTCTTACTCTATATAATTTTTTTTCTTTTTTTAATACTAACATTTCTCCAATGTAATGCTCTTAGTGTATTTATTAAAATTAAACCTAGACGTCTTTCTTAATTTGCATTAACAATAAATATACATAAGTATTAACGAAGTCTCGAATTATATACTGATGTAAAATTAGGCTAAATTCGTAATTAAACTCCCATATATTGATCACATTTTTTTTTTATTAATAATAAGTTTATTTAATAATAGTTTGTAGTAAATTAACTAGTGATATTTTGTGCTTCTTTCTATTTTATTTAAATTAATAAAGCTCTCTAGAAAAAGAATTATGTTACATTTACACTGATTTATTTAACTCATAAATATGAATTCGAATATGTTGTTAGTTCAATGTTCTCGTACATATGCTTTGTTCAGCATATGTACAAAACATTATGCATTGTGCAAGCCATTCCAAACTAAATTTATGAGTATTTAAATTCACTAAAATTAAAATTATCAATGTTTACAGTATTATAATATACATATATTTATAGTCACAAGCTAGTCACAACTTGTGGTCATAATTATAATCATTCCTTGTAGTTATGAGTACGAATCCTTCTTTATATATTTAAATAAAAAATGTTTCAAGAAATTATAATTGTTTCATTTCCCCACTAGTTCTAACTCACAGCTCAGCTTATGAAAATTAAGAACAGTTCCCTATGTATGTATGCAATATAATTTAAACTATGTACAAACTTTGTTCAAATGCATTCAAATTTTTAAACAAATACTTCACAAACTTTCCCATTCTATATTATTATTTATAGTTGACAGCAATATTCATATTGTTTATATTGTTAGTATTTAATGAAAAATAAATAATGTACGAGCAGACCTATTTTCGTCTTATTTGATGTAACATAATGAATAAAATACGAATATAAATGCGTTTGGACAAAGTGAAAATTCTACCAATATTAGTAAATTTGTTACAATTACCTTTCTTAAAGGTTAAATTTTATTATCAGTAGCCCAATAAATCAATTTACTTATTCTTGAGAAAACATTGTTTTCATTATGAGAGGCGTAAACAACCTCGGGCCAAAATAAATTATGATAAGGAATTTTATTCGATAGAAACTGAACTCAAAGGCTAATAAATATTCACATTTACAATTTGTAATTTTACTTGTAAAATGGGATAAGAAAAACGATGATGGCATTATGCCTGTAGCAGCTACCTATTGCAGGCACGTCTCGGAACGAATATTTTTAATGGAGAAAAATGAAACGATAGCTCGGTTGCGCTATTGACATATGCTAGCAAAGTACCAGTGAGGTAGCGGATTTACCAGAATGACCCCACTGAGGTAACTTCATCCTCACTAGGATAGACGTTGCTGGTAATTGGGTCTAATAGCCCCATTTCTAGCAATATACCCTGTCAGGTCACCTCCATGTGATTTTCTCTTAAAACCATAGTGATCAATTCTAACGAGATTTGTCACAAAAGGCTAAATGACCTGTTTTATTCTCACCTATCATGCCTCACTGGTGACCCGCAAGCGTATACTGAAGGCGCAAGCATGGCCATTCCATTTTCACCAATTAAAAAAAATATTTCATTCCTACCAATCATTATTCCCCACTACTGGCCAATGTAAAGCAATAGCACAAACATATACTGTTTCTTTTTCATTAAATTAAAGTCACACGGTATACAATATACCGTCAGCGTGTCTGTCATTCTGAGTGTCATAAAAAAGTAACTTTTCTACTTCACCTATCGCTCTCGAGGACAAATGCCTATAGATTGAGATTACACTCACATTTTTATCTTCCTAGGAAATGAACTTTTCCTAAATTGGTTCGGGTCTCGATACTTAGGTTTGTGCTTATAAAAGGATAGATATAAAAGGCTACGAGGACAGGTCTATTTCCTACTGGTACAATATTATACTATCCGTATGTACATCTACCAGCGGCTTACGCATGACTTATATTACTGTAGTAGTGAAGATGCCTGACTGCGTATATCCTTTCATCTCTGTAGGAAAATATTGCTATGAATGGAAATTACGCAGCCCCTGATGGAGAGTAGTAACTGCATGCTATATTGGTACATATTGTTTTGTTTTTATACCGAATTGTATTGTCCGAATAAATAATTTTACTTTTGACAGGTAACTTTAATTCCAATATAGTCAATTCGCATAGAAAATATACTTAATGTCTTAATTTTCTGTATTTAAAAGTCTCCATAGAAAAAATTCGTTAAGTTTTTTTTATGCAACTTAAAATGGCAAACAAAATGACGGCCCTCCTAATGGATAATGGTAACCATCGCCTATAGATGTGTATAAGTAATATAAATGATTTAAATAAATTACTTTTTACTAATATTCAGTAATTTGCCTCCTAAAATTTAAATGCAATACGGGGCTCCGTTTAGCTATTAATGTTAATTAGATGAGTTTAACTGAATTTGTTTAAATACAATGCTTTGCAGAGTATAGTTATGTTCACAGTAACCTTTGGTCCATTTTAAATTTTAGTAAGTTATAGTATTAATATATAATAACAGAAATGACCTGGAAAAGAATGCATGAATTAGTTGCACCAACAAGAGGAAACTCTTAAATGAGAAGAAAGATATTATTCATATTATTTCAATGTTCGAATACTGATATCTAATCAATATACAATAATCTTCTATTTACTACAAATCTTCCCATCATCTATTATCCACAAAGTTATTGTTAAAATTCATTACAGTATCGTCTTAAAATAAATAAACTTATTCCCAATATTTTCAGCGTGAATTATATTATTTACTACTACTGAGGGCTTTTGAATAATATCGACATGATGGCAATGAATTCTCAACTGTAACACGTTGAGAATAAAAGTGAGAGGAGAATTGTTTACAAAACCTCAGGTGTGGGTCGAAATAAAAATTGAAGCGGAATGCTCGTACAGATTCGGAATACGATATTCGCTTTGTTCAAAGCAGTTTAATGAAATACGGAAAATAGTAGCTATGTAAATGTACACTTATTATATATAACGCA